AGCAAATTGGGCTAAGCTAAGAAAAAATGAACGAGGAAAATTAAATCTTTCTTAAAAGTTTATTTGCATGAAAAACAGCAAGAAAATCCCATAGTTGTTGCAGATCATCAGTTTGGGATCCTCCTCTTTTAGTAGCTGAGATATAGACATTTATTTTGAAAATAAATTTGTGATCACTTTATTTTATTTACTTTTTATTGGTTTTTCTTAGTTATACATGACAGTAGAATCCATTTTGATAAAATTATGAAATATATCTTATTCTAACTAGAACCGATTAATCTTGTGGGTGGGCATGATGGTGGGATTCACTTAGGTATTTTCAAATGTGTACTTAAGAAAATTATGTTATATTTATTCTACTGTCTTTCATATTCCTATCCTCACTTCCTTCCCTTTTGTCTAATCTACTGAACTTCTCCTCTCCACCCTTTATTGTGATTTAGTTTCCATATCAGTAAGGACATTCAACCTTTGATTTTTTGGAATTGGCTTATTTCATTAAGCATAATAGTCTCCAGTGGAAAATCTTGCATATACTAAAAGAAAATGTAGGCCTAACACTTCAACATATTGGCTTAGGAACTGACTTCCTTAACAAGAATCCTAAAGCACAAGTAATAAAATTAAAAATCAATCAATAGGATGCCATCAAACTAAAAAACTTCTTCACAGCAAAAGAAACAATCAAGTGAGTGAAGATAGAACCTAGTAAATGGGAGAAAAATCTTTGCCTCCTGCTTCTCAGGGCATTAATATCCAGAATATACAAATAACTCAAAAAACTAAACACCCAAAATAAATGAATAAATAACCCCATCAATAATTGGGCAAAGGAACTAGACAGACACTTTTCAAAAGAATACAAACGGTCAACAAATATATATTAAAAACTCTAGCAACATGCAAATTCAAACTACACTGAGAGTTCATCTCATTCCAGTTAGAATGACAACTATCARGAATACAGGTAACAATAAATGTTGGCAGGATGTGGGGGAAAGGGTATACTCATACTTTGATGGTGGGACTACAAATTGGTGTAACAATGAGGAAAGCAGTATGGAATGCCTCAAAAAACTAGAAATGGAACCACCATTTGACACAGTTATCCCACTCTTCATATTCACATGATTTAAAATCAGCATGCAGTGATGCAGCCATATCAATGTTTGTAACTAAATAATAATCGCTAAGCTATGGAACTGACCTACAAGTCTATCAACAGATGAATAGATAAAGAAATCATGGTTTATATACACAACAGAATATTTCCAAGCTATAAAGAAGAATGACTTCATGACATTTGCCAGTAAGTTGATTCATATCTTAACCATGGACAAAAATTAGTTTAAAATAGATCATACACTTAATTTTTAAAACATGAATCTAATAAACCTTAGATAACATTTTTGTGGTATTTGGTAAATTAAATATTTCTGAGATGACACAAAAACACAGCCGTAGAAGAAAAAAAATTATCTTTTATGTCTTCAAAACACTGCTAAGAGTGAAAAGACAGAACAGAGAATATGTTTTCACATTGTATATCTGATAAAGAATTTGTATTTGTAATATATAAAGAACTCTCAAAGCTGAATAATTAAACAACAATTGATATTTGCAAAAGATTTAAATAGACACTTCACCAAGGAAGATATGCAAATGTGAAATTCATGTATAAAAAACATACATTCTGAAATGCAATTAAAATCACAATGAAATAGCATTACATACCTTTCAGAATCCTTTTATTAAACACTGACTACATTAGGTGTTCGCAAGAGGAACTGGGACTCTATACCATTTTGGTGGGAGTGAAAAATTGTAACTACTCTGCAGTACAGGTGATGATTTTTCTAAATGTTAATCATATACCGTTCATATGATTCAATCCTTCTAAGTCTACATATTAATCTAAAGAAAGGAAAAGTTAGACAAATAAGAGGCCTTGTATACTTTGTGACTCAATTTGTATGAAAGTTAGAAAATGTCGTTACCTGTAGTGATAGAAAGTGGATCAGTGGTTRTCTAGGAACCAGGGAATGGAGAGACAGGAAGGTGGGAATTAAATGGGGCCTGCAGAAATCTCTGGGCTGATAGATGTATTCATAATCTTGAGGGTAGTAATAGTTTTCACAGATTCAGTATGTGCCAAATCTTACCATTTTGCCTACTTAAATAGTTGCAGCTGATTTTTTAAAAATATTTTTTTAGCTGTAGGTGGACACAATACCTTTTTCTATTTGTTAATTTTTATGTGGTGCCAGGGATTGAACCAAGTGCCTCACGTGTGCTTAGATAAGTGCTCTACTACTGTGTCACAAACCAAGCCATGGTTGCAATTAATTTTAAAACAATTATATTTTGAAAAATACAATTATATTTAGAAAACAGGGCTGGGTTATAGCTCAGTGGCAGAATGCTTGCCTTGCATATGTGAGGCACTGGCTTTGATCCTCAGCGCTACATAAACATAATTAAACAAAATAAAGATATTGTGTCCATCTACARTTTTAAAAAAAGAGAAACTTTAGGAAACAAAACCTTAAAAAACAGTGTTTAAAGAATCACAGGGAAGTTTGCTCAAAATACTCTTTCTAAAATTAATTTTTAATTGTGTAAAAAATATAAAAATTTATATATTGATGGGGCATAAGTGGTGTTTCAACATGTAACACTGTGTAATGTTTAAATCAAGTTAAACACATCTATTGCCTCAAGAGTTATCGTTTTTTATGATGAAAACTTTCAAATTCCCTTTTTAAGCTTTTTGAGATATCCAGAAAATTATGATTATCCATAGTTATCTTATTGTAAGAACTTCTTACAATTAGGAACTAACTGTAACTTGGCATCCACTGATCAAACTTTCCCCTTCCTTCATACCCTCTACTCTTTGCTTCTATGAGATGAAGATTTTTATGTCCCATATACAAGTGAAATCAAGCAGTACTTTCTTCTTGTGCCACATTATATTATCACATTATATTATGTGATTTCACATCACACAATGATCTCTAGTTCCATCTGTGTTTTTTGCACATCTTCTTTGTATATATTCACCAGTTGTTTCCATGGAAAGACTCTATTTAAATCTTAGATGACTTTCCAAATCTGCATTTTAACATAAGACTTTCTAGTAAATCCTGATGCAGGATGTCACAACATTTCTAACCTTGAGAAATAATACTTTATATAGATTTCTGTAAAAATCATAGTCCTATGTTTAACATGCCTGATCCAAAAGTTCATAGGCCACTTGTGCAGAGAAAAAGCCAAAATCAGTGTTTTAGTTATCTTTGCACATTGCTGTGACCAAAAGACCTGACAAGAAAAATATAGAACAGGAAAAATTTGTTTGGTCTGATGGTTTCAGAGGTTCAGTGTATAGTTGGCCGGCTCAATAGCTCTGGGTCCGAAGTGAGGCAGAACATCATGGCAGAAGGTTGTGGCAGAGAAAAGAAGCTCAGGACTTGACCACCAGGAAACAGAGAGTGAGGTCCACTACACAGGGACAAAATGTAAACCTCAAATTCAACCCACAGTGACCTGCTTCCTCAAACCACATCCTACCGTTCTATAGTTAAACATATCAGTGGATTTTTAAAATCTTTTAAACTCCTTATTTTAAGGWTCTAAATTATTGTTCTTTTAAAGATTTTTACTTCCTTTTTGTTCATATTGTTACTAATTTAATTCATGTTATTAATAACTCCTCTTTAAATTTGATGGCAAATTTATTTACATATATCATTTGAAAGACTCTTTTACCATAATGGTGTGCTAGATGTGTGCATGTATATGAGCTGACACTGGTTTCTTTTTTCTTCTATAGTTAAAAAACAGTGTCTTTAAGTCAGTGGTCTTTAAGCCAAGTTCAACATCCATCTTTTTGTCCTGGACTACAATGTTTGAAGTCCACTTTGTAAGATCTGGCTCATTTTCAAACAAAAATACTAAAGGGGGTTGAAGTAGGGAACCTATTTGTTGCTTATTCTGTGCAGTTAGTTGGTGATCTTCTGGAGCATCCTGAGCAACATGCTGGCTGTTTGGAGCAACCATTCACATTGGTGACATTTTAATCCGTTCTACCAAAACCACTGTGTATAACTTCCTCTTTTTTAATCATTTTGGAAAGATGGCAGCCACAATCCTTCTCACTGAGATCTGTACTTGAGGACTGAGAAGGTAGAATATTTTCTTTTCTGGCAGGGTCTCTAAATGATTGACATAGATCTCATCACTCTCCTAGACTAGAAAGAATTGTGGAAAACCAAAGCTACTGAGCATTTCTTCAGTCAATAGCACTCTCAGAATTTGTATCACGATACATCAAACCAATCACTCCTCAAAGCCTCTTGACCTAAGGAGCTTCCTAGGTCCTTTCTTAATACATCAGTGCTGAGCCCAGCTTTCTCTTATCTAAGCTGAACATCTTGGATCACATCATACATCTTCAGTCTGACCTTACTCAGTTTTACAGTCTCTCAGTTACTACTCTCCAAGGGATGGTATAATTCTGTTACACCATTACTACTCAGTCGCTTATCAGTAAGGATTCCATTCTCTAAGTGAGTTTTTTTTTTTATTTCAACCAGTCCAAGATAAAGATGACATTCACTGAGAATCAAGCCAATGTCCTTATCATTCTCAGAAAACAAATTTTTTTCTTCCTTTCCTTTGTTACACAATACACTCTTCTGTTACTTTAACTCAGTTTAGGGCATCTCTTTACTCCTGCCAGGCCTAGCCCAGGAATAAATAATTGAAAGTCTCCTGCTTGTGTAGTTCTATTCGTTCTTCAGTTAGAGCCTATGATGCATTATGAATAATTTGTTCTTTATCTTTTGAGTTGCAAAATTCATCTTTTGAATCTTACAACTTAATACAGTCTTGGGTGCTCTGGTGCTCAAATGCTCTGTTTATACTTATGATTGTTTCATTGTCTAACAATTCTTTATGTAATGTAATAAGCTTAAGAAATTCAAGAAACACTCATTTCATTCAATTTCCTTTATTGAGTAATTGTTAACAATAAAAGAGGTATAAAGTTTTGTTCCCAAGTCCAAACTGATTTTTAACTTATACCTTGAGTTTTCTGAATTACCCAAACTGAAGTAATTCTCTTTATACCTGAAAAAAAATTGTTTTATTGAAATGTTTGAGATAAAAAATATGTATTGCAAGAAGCATATGACAACATTTCAAGAGTACAAAATTAGTTGTAAAAATAACATAATTTACCAGTAAACCTACATTATTAGAAATGTGTAAAGCCTTTGGAAGTAAAAGTATTTTCGTTTGTTTGTTTGTGATATCTAAGCACCCATTTTTATAACTTAGCTTCCCATGGAGAGGTAACTGTTTGCATGCTTTCGATTTAACCATTAGGTACATTCAACGATCAATCTTCTCAATGAGATAACAGCTCACCACTCTTAGATTTGAGTCACAATGAATCTAGTGACAAGGATTTTCTTTCATGGATTCCCACTTTAGTCAGAACTCTTAATTTCAGGATAAAAAAGCGTATAAGGTACTATATTCCTTCAGTTCCTATCCCACAGGAGGCTAATCCCACCATTTTTCTCAAGTTTTTCATTTAGAAAACAAAACAAAACAATAAAAGAATTCAACGTGTGTTCAGAATTGTTCCATGATTTGTCTTGTGCTGATGTTTTAGTTCCCGAAGTTAAATTGGCTCTCATAGTCTTCCTTTTAAGTTCAGGTTGTTGACTTAGGGTTCTATATGTATTGATTAGCTTTTAGATTTTCATTGAGAACGACCTTCTCTCGATCGTCTTCTAGACCCTGATTAGGAGGAAGAGGAACATACAGATGTAAAGATGATGAAACTTCACAGAAAAATAAAATCAATAAAAATAAATAAAAAAACAAACAAATAAATAGAAAGAACATGAAAAATTTTCAAAAAAGAATGATATTCTGTGCATAACGTATCTAGTTAAGGTACTCTTTCTCATTGTACCAAATTTCACTTATATTATTTTCTTTTAATAATATCCTCAGTTTATAGTGATGGAACCAAGATTGTACTTTGATCAAAGGTGTAAAGAAATAATAATCTGAAACTTGATTCTTTTAATCCTTTGAAAATTTGGATGATTTGGGGTGTTTCAAAGAAATTTCTTATAAATATTTCTTTAAAAAACATTTGTTCAATCAACCCTTTAATTCCAAAACTTTAAACATTGGGAAGGCTTAAAATTGCATTAGCATAACATTTTAACTAGTGTAACTTGTTTTGATTATTAGTAAGTAATTATCTCTGGAATTCTAAACTTGTAATTCCAAGCTTGTCATTTAAGTTCCACAAGGGAAATCTTTGCTACTTCAATGTATTGTGATGTAAGATAACCTAAGAGGAGGAATTAAAATATGCACATAAATGTAGAATTGAAAGTTATAGTTCTATGATATATTCAGATACATAAATAATTTATACATTTATATCAAAATTTTATAAAAAGTTACATTAACAGTTTTCTATTCTAATTTACTTATGTCTCAAACCACAGCTTTATCTTAGATGATATTTTTTAACAGTTTAGGTCTACCTGAACTTGGCTCTGGTATTCAAACTTTTTTCTTTACTTAACTCTACTTGAGTTTACCTCAAAGGTTCAATATCTAAACAGTTTATGTGAATATAGTTGCCTTTCTTTTAATACTTGATGCACCTAGATTCGATTAATAGTGCAGGACTTGAGCAGTTCATTTCCTTATACTTATCATATAAATACTTGGGATCAAAACTTTCTAACTTTTCCCCTTAACAGAAAATAAAGTTTAATGAAGTACATCAACAATCCTTTGATATCTCTCATTCAAAACATGCCATATACACACATTACAATAGTTAATACACTGACCTTGAACTCTTTTGTTGGCTTGTAACTTTCTCACAGGTGTATCTAAAATTAAAGATTTGTATTTAGAAATAATTTGCAATTATGGGTTAAATCAGACAGGAGACCATGGTTAAATAGAAAAGTATAAAGTTTTAAATGAATATCACTTAAATATATCAATTTTTGGAGTAGTAAATTTTAATGATCCTTAGAATTTCACATTAACAACGAACAAGGAGTCATTAGTTTTCCATGCATCGTAATGAGTATTCACTAACTGCAAAACAAATTGTTTCATTTTATTCCTTTTGGAGCCCACATAATGTGCCTTTTTTTTGCCTAGAGCAAATGACTTGCATAAATGTTTTAACCATTTGTAAAAAGAATTACACAATGATAAAATAATAAATAAAGTTTAGCACAACTATCTTCCCAGTGATTGCCATCTTTCTTTAAAGTCATTCCTATGTATAACAAATGTCTTTGAAAAATTCTTTTCATAGATCAACTTATGAATTAATTATTGTAAATGACCACAGCAAAACAATATTGACCTGATCACTCTAGACATATAAAAATAAACAATTCAGGAAGAGTATGCTAACATCCTCCCTTCCTCAATGCAATATCAATCCACAGAACTGTAGATATATAATCATAGAGACTCTCAAAAAATTAACTAGTTGAAAATAATAAAAGCTTTCATATTAAATAATGGCAATTTATAATAATTGCACCTATGAAATTAATAATAATAATTTGTTGTTGTTGTTATTATTATTATTTGCATAGTTACATCGCTGTGACTTTAGAAATTTAAAGTAAGGTGAAAAAATATTATCTTATTGATCATGTAACTGTTCATGGACATTAATTTTGAAAGTAACATTTTCTGGAGTTTACAAAACTCTGTGCTGAGTATTATTCCAAGAGCTTTCATATTCACTCATTTAAATGTAGGTAACATTACTATACTCATTTATAAAGAAAGAAAATAAAAAATATTTACAAAAACTTTGTAAATAAAGAAAGCAGAAAAGAGTCAATTAATTTAGGTTTGAATTGTAGCTCAAATTGAAGCCAGTCCCACAACATGATTCACATTCTCTACAAATGTCATAAATATTTACACATTACATTGACAGATTCGCATTTCTCCATAGTCTGATATTCTCCTTTCATTGCTTGAGTATTCTCAGTATACAGACTTCTACCAAAATTAAGCATCAAAAATTTTATGCCTTTTTGTGAGAATATTTTTTAGTTCAGGGCTTTGATATATTTAAGTGACAAATCACACTGTGAGTACCAAAACTATCGCTTAGCCATGTTAACAGTTATGACTTAACTGATTTGCAAGTTCATTTAATTCATCAGTATATACGATATGTTCCAAAATGTTCACAGAATGAAAAAGTCACATAGAAAACTCCAAGTTTTAAAATGAGACCATGGTTGGGATATGGATCAATTAGCTAGACTCTGAGAAAGAAAAGCCAATCTTGCATGATGCCATCTGCATTCCTACCAATGTTTTGTAAATCAGTGCCTCTTAGAATCTAACCACAGGGGCAGTTGTGACTCCATAATGACCTGACGGTTAGAAAAGAAAACTAGCATATCCCATTAATGTCCACATACTAGTAACTGTACTGCATATACTCTTTCTATGGGAAGACAAACCTTAGAAATATTTTGATAAGACTTATTATGTGGCATTATGGAAACATGTGTTTCTGATATAAGGATAGTTTGTATACTGAGAACTGAAAGAATCAACTTCTGGGGTAAATAGAAACAGAAATAAGAAAAAATCCATTAATTAAAAATAGAACATCACTTTTTTTGACTTGTAGCAGTTATCTCTCCCGGATGGATCAACACTTTATAATGTATTTATAATATACTTGTTTTTAATGGACATAATAAGAAAGCCTTATTAAAAGGGGAAAATCATACTTACCTACAGTTTAACCTAAATGAATAAAAGCAATATAAACAAGGCAGCTACTAATGAATTCATTCTCTAAAAAGCACTGCCATTCTACAAAGCTGTTAACTATGTCATGAATAATAAAAAAAAGAATTCAATTTAGTCTTTATAATTTGTTTACCTTTTTCTTCAAATCCTTGTATGTTTTCATAATAGAGAGTTGTGTGTTTAGGAATAGATCGCTGAATTTCATCTTATAGGAAATTTTGGTTTAATTATGCCTAGGATATAACATAACACTCCCTGTGTTAGGAAAGGAGATCTTGTTTTTTCAGACACATATATTTCTATTAAGGGGGGATGCAATCTTTGGTTGCATAAATATTTATTTTTACTACCACAAATCTGGAAGCAGGTTTCAAGAGATATGTTAAAGTGTAAAATATAGAAAAAATAACAGCCAAAAATATATGGGATCATAAGAGAATTTATATTATTCTGGCCATAGTGACATAATTTTTAAAATTATAAGCAAAAAATTGAAATAACCAGCCATCTAGATACATTTTAGATAAATATCAAACTTCAGTTACGTTTCAAAATTCATAGACTATTACAAATATTATGTTTCTTTTTTTCTGACTACTTATTTCTACTACTTATTTCTCTAAAACAATTTTTGGTATAATATTTTTTACTGTTAGCAATTGAACTATAAGTTAATTTATTCAAATTCTAATGATCCAGATTATATTTTGTTAACATTTACTACTTGCTTGAATAATTACTATTTAGAGTTTCTGTGATATTTTGAATTCTTTTTTTTCTTTTTCTTTTGAAAGTAAGTCCATTTAATATCATAGATGGAAAACATTCCATACTCTAAGGATTAATTTCACAGGCAAAATATTTCACATTTCCAAGGTAAAGATTATCATTCAAATGTTAGAAGAAACAGATATTCATTCACAAAAATGTAGTTTTGGAAAAGATAGTTGCTAAATGAGCTCATTTTTTTTGCTATATCTATGCATTTAAAAATTAATATATAACATGCCTTTTATTTATTTTATGTTATGGGGGCAGTGAATACATTTTTTGAAAATATAAAAGTCAAATTTTGGAGTAAGAGCTAGAATTTAATAACTCTTCCTCTTTTGCACACTCAGAATATCCTCACAATTATCTGCATTAAAGTAAAAAAAAATATTCATTGCTCCCCAAGCTTAATACCACAGAACTTTTTAAAGACTGTATAAACTGTAATTATTTCTTTACAATGATTACTTCAACAAAACACTTGATTTGTTGGACAACAGTTGATGTTGTCTCTTTTACCTAATTAAAAGAAAACCCAGCATGCTCAGTCTTTAAAAAGCTAAAGAACTCAAACCAGAACCTGTTACAGGGGTTAGTTGTCGTCCTTTTACTAACCTCCCTGAAGCAGTCTTTTAATTTCTTCATCTTCAAATAAATGATCATCACCACCTTCAATGAATTTGGTGACCTTGGTGACCTCTGAGAGGATACATGTTTATAGCAGAAATTGGTTTATATAATGAAAAAAATAGAAGGTTTGCTATGATAAATACTGGCATCAACTCAATAAAGAATTCCAGACCAACACCTGGTTCCTTCTCAGTTTTTAGTGCTGATTTTTGGTATACAAATTATTTTATAAAGCTGTTAAACAATAGGTAACAATCAATATGATTACTATTTATGCTTCCTTTCATATTTTTGGACGTTTTCCTTATGTTGGTATGGAAGTTGAACAACAGAATGAGGAAGAGTTGAAAACATGTACAAGGCCTTAAAGACTATTTTAGATGTGGAACAAACAGCTGAGCACAACATCCTTATTTTTTAGCTATAACTGACCTTCTTGCAACAATTTATTYAGAGCTTCCACTGTTTCTCCACCTCCAGTAGAAATCCTAGTGTATTTTATTTCAGGACCTAAAGGAAAGACAATAAAACAGGGTAGAAAAACTTCTGTAAAGAACTTAAGAGTTTGTGGGCCATATGGTCTGTGTTGTAATTRTTCTGTTCTGTCATTAAAGTGTGAAAAAGACATAAACATTATATAAAGAAACCTTATTTACAAAAACAACAGATAATCCTTACTTGCTGCTTATTTGTCTGAATAAATACTAGTAGAATATCTGAATTTAGAATTTTAGGTTAATTCATAAGTGGGAGRCTGATACAAAGGTTTACTAAGGTTATCAATCAAATTTTTATATAAAATTGCATAGATTTTGGTATTAGATGTATAGATATTAAGATTAATGTAAACTCAAAGAGGAAAGTTTTTGATTCTAATATTCGATACCTCGTTAACAAACAGAAAAACAGAGATAATATGCCATATAACATATGTGCAATGCACATCATAGCACATCTTATACACTTATCCACAAATTACCAATTCAGAGTAATACATGTATCATACATTTAGAATAATGTTATTTTTCCTAAAAGTGAAATGAAGTACTTCAGTAGTTATCAGGAAAGTTGACTTAGTCACTTTGTTTCTATAATGATTCTTGTGGAGATTTTAGGATTARTTAATCCTAACTATCATTTTGATCTTTATAATACCAGCATAGTTCTATGTATGCAATTTAAAATTACCTGTAATTATTCTTTCTTCACGGGTCTGTTTTTCAGTTATTTCCACAGGCACTCCATCAATTATTTTGGTGTACGTTTTAATAACTGGCTCTGAACATAGAGGGAAAATACATTTCATTTATCTTCATATGGTGTCTATACTTTCATAAGGTTGGCATTTTAATAATGTAATGTATTTCTCTAAAAATTACCATTTAAGTTTTAATCCTAGTCATTGTTAGAGCATCTYGATAGTAAATTAAAATCAATGTAAGTCTAAAAGGCAATAATTGTCCTGAGTCTTGGATTAGGCGGAGGACCAACTGGCAAGCAACCTTGCCATCACGGAAATGGTAACCCTGTGATAAATCCTAGTAATGGTTTATTAGCAGAGTCTTAAACAATGACCATTTTCTTCCATTTCTAAGTCCAACATGTCTTTTTGAATTGACACTATTGTAGTCATTATTGCATTTCATAATCATCACTTACAAATGCAGAAGTAATAGTAGTTTTCAGTGGGCCTAGTGACTTAATAGTTGAATTAATTTCAATAGGATCCACTCAAAGGTAAACTGTTGACTAAATTGTAGCTTTGAAAATGGTTCCCCAATTTATATAAAATAAACACTAAAAAGAAAACTTTATGGGTTCAACATTTCTAAACCAACACTATTTCCAAATAAACACAAGGATGCTACCCACACACTAGGAAAAACACATAGTAACACACCTCCATGGATGACTTCAGTTATGGTTTCACCTTCTTTAAGCACTCTGAATTCAGGTTCACCTTCAACGTGGATCTTTGTCATTGCAGGTCCTGAGACATCATTTTAGGAGACAAATTATTATGTTAAAACAGTCCTTTAGATTTCCCAGAAYAGGAAAAGTATTCCAACATTTGGTGTTACTCAGACATCAAAGTGTTTCAGGCTTTGTGAAATCAGTTCTAAACATTTCCCATTGTCTTCAGATCAGACATTATTTATGAAAACAGATGGCACATTCTATGRGTGTTCTACTACAATTACTTTCATCTGCTTTAGTATTTAAAGTGATGTATAAATCTGATTCAATTATAGCTGTAAAGTATATATTTGTCTATACTTTGTGAATCATACAGAATGTACAAATTTGAATCTCTGTAATGATGCCTAGTTTAGATCTGACATTACCATACTGACATTATCTTTACTTACTAAAATATTTTATTTAAGTCTCTAATCACTGAAGACCTTAATTCTTTGATCTTTTGAGCATAGGACTGAGCATAAGAAAATTGCCTATACTTACCTTTAAAGTGGTGAGTTTCAGGCTTTATGGGAAAATGGATTTGAGTACTCAATTTGTATATTAGACTAATAAAAAATTAACTAATTAATAATTAATAATTAAATAGTCCTTCAAATGCAAAAGTTAAAGTGTTGCATTTGACTTGCAAAATGATTTTGCTCCCAGAGAAAATCATTTTGAATGTTAGAAAGCTTATTACTATATTAGTTAATCAAGATTATTTAAGAGGCATAAGAAACTCAGGTTCAGTACATTTAACTCATACTGYAACACCCTTCAATAGTCAGATGAGGCTATATTTGCATATCTTTGAGTGGATTTGCTTGTCTGGAAATTGTCAATGTATATCAAAACCCAGAATTAAACAGAATAATCTAAAATAATGAAAACAGAAGTATAGGTCTTTCAACAGTAAATATTCAAGCCATGATATTTTATCTGTGAGGGCAATGAATATTGAATTTAACACATAAGATCAGATTTTTAAGGTGTAATAACTTCAAAAAGAAAATATGCCTAAGAAGTTTAAGAAAAAACAAATGAGTTAATAAAATATCTAAATCGATTTTTTTTTTAGAAAAGCCAAAGTGAAATTTCAGGAATATCCTCTATTCTTAAGCTCCATGATGGCAGAAATTTGACCAAAAAAATTTTTAAGTTTTCATAGCATCTAGGAGAATATCCAGTACACTGGGTATTTAATAACTGTCTGWCGAATTGAATTTCAGTTGACTTATTCTTAATTCTAAAATTTGGCTTGTTACTTTTAAAAAAAAAATCTTGAAATTTTGTCCTGAGTCTAATGTGTTTAATAAGAACTCAAAATTCATCAGTGAATCAATAAAAGATAGGAAACAGATGACAGTAGCACTCTTAGAAACTGGACAATTAGAAATGGCAGCTAAGATGAATGTTCCCTTCATTGTGCTATGTAAGAAGTACAACTTCCAAATCTTTGAATTGAAGAGTTATTAATGAATAGGTTACATGACCCTCTTTCATCCATATCCTCTTTAAAGGAAGAACCCTGGTAGAATTGACATGCCTCTCTATCTCTAGCTGGAGAAAGAATAATGGGATAGAATACAGAGAACAAAGAATGGGAGGGTAAATGGGTTGAATGAAGAAGCCTGAAAGAACACAAAGGAATCCTTGAAATAAGAACAATGGCACATGTGATCCATTTCAGTTTCAGAAGCTGTATGTAAAGTTCTAAAAAAAACGTTTAGGGATTCTAATTTTTTAAAACAGTGGTATTATCTAGCATCATTTGGTCATCTTCCATTTAAAAATGATCAAGAAATATTTTTCCACAAAATTCCTGTGACTTAATTTCTTGTTAAGACTTTAAATCTTCATCAACATACAAAAACAATAAAACAACGATAAGCATAATATTTAAAAGAAAAATATCAGCACAGATTTCAGAGCATAAGTTAACTTTGGGTCTCAAGAATGAATACTAATGTAGACTACTATTCGGCTGAGAAATCAAGTCTTTACATATCTTCTCAATGGCTACGTTTTCAGTCATGGGTCACTTTGAAAGGAACAGGCAAATGTATTTTCAAAGTCACCATCTCAATCCACAGAATGAAAWGAAATACCAAAATCAAAGATAACTAAAATAAAAATTTTCCTGATACTCAATTAGATATAATTGGTTCCTTTATTGAAGACTGTATCTTTTTTACAGAAAAGAAGATAGGCAGGTATATTCTTTGTGACAAGTAAACATATTAAGATGTAAAAGCAAGGGGAATAAATTCTTTAAGTTTGATCCTTGGAGATAATTAAAATATATGAAATGAAGGTAATCTCTAAGATGTTGAAGTTCACTTACACAGACAGTAAGGATAAAAAGAAAAGTGACTGTTTTTTTTAAGCCTAAAACATAAGAATAGAATCTATCTATCTATCTATCTATCTATCTATCTATCTATCTATCTATCTATCTGTATTTTTAAGTTCAAGACTGGAATTTAGGATTCTAAGATTTGACTGTGTCAATATGCTACTCATCTGTTTCAGGTGTGATGTACTACCTGCCTGGTTGTAACTTTAAAAGCTTTCATTAATGCACACCTTTATGTTCAGGTTGCTGAATGAAATTAGTGTAAGTTTTTGGACAAGCTTCCTGTAATGGTACAAAAAAGATCATGTGGAGAGACTGGAGAAAAAACTTCAAAAAGAGTTCATCTCTGAAAGAGTCTACCTACAGATTAGAAGTCTCAAGATTTATTTGTTTATAGTAAGTTTCTGGGTACTCGTGCTAATGCAACACCAATTAAATTAAAACTAAATCAAATACAAGCAAATGTACTGAAAGTTTTAGGAATGCGCCATCTACTTTGCTAAATAATTTGTACTCCACATTCTGCAATTACATGAGCAAGCCATTGGTATAGAAATATTTAGCATGTTAGTTTCAAAAAAGAATGTAGATACATTCATAGAAATCAGTATATTATGATTTTTTGAAATAAAAGGAACCACATATAGCATTTATTTTTACCTTCAGTTTTGATAATAGGCTGAAGACTGCCTTGAATCACTTTAATTTTTGGTTCCACAACTTTGGTTATAATTTTAGTTGCTGAAAGTATAGAAAGTGGAATATGAATGATGTTTACATAAAAACAACCTGAATGAAGTTGTTCTTTTCCTTTTGGGGTAATAAATTTATATGGTAATAATTAGATATGGTAATGTGTTCAGGCAGTCAGATACAGGTAATATTCATGGTTCATAATTAATATCTTCTCATGTCCAGATGTTGAACTCTGAAGTCCAGTGACTTGGATGTGTTCCASTGAAATAAATGCTCACTAAATGAGGAACTCTATCTAGAAATCTATAATTTTGAACTGCACCACTAATGCTCTTTACCTTCTTTTGTACTTCTTGAAAATATTGGCTGCATAGCAACAGGAGACAAATAAACATAATTAATTTCATGCAACTCATAATACCTTAAATTGCATTGTTGGATTTTTTTCTCAATAAACAGAAGAAAAATTGAGAGGAGAAATATCTTAAAGTGTTTTTCATGCATTTGATAACAGCAACATTTAAAGAAAAATACAAAAAAATAGTTTAGAATATTTAAGATAAGAACACATTTCAGCCAGCCAGACAGAGCTCTATGCAACAAATATGATATGGTCAGCATGAAATCAGAGGAGAAAATGCCTTTAATTTTTTTTCATCATAACCATTATTTTTTTTTAATTTAAAGGTATGCATTTTAAATATATATTATCTACCCAAGTGAAATAAGAATGTGTAAAGTTAATTTAAAATCTCAGTCAACAATTTGGTTGACTTTGGCTATTCAAGTTAACTGGAAATGTGTCTCTGGAGTTATACAACCAGAGCTATTTTCCTTTTTCATTTTTACTTAGAAGGCTTAAAAGATGATTGCATAGGGTAATGGACTGTTCTAATGGTAACAATCATAACATGGTGTTGACATATTAGAGTGGAGATGTTAGCAAAATTTGAGTTTCTATTACAATCTCATCTGCTATTTCTGAAATTTTTTTTGTGTCAACATTTATATCCATGTAAGCCGCCTCAATAGGAACACTGTATGTTTAATCATATTCTGTCTTGACATACCAAATTATAAGCTCWAAAGTATATCAAATTTGTGCTCAATTACTGATTCCACAAGGTGTCCTGCTATAGAGGAACCTTTCCATGAAGGCCAAATATGCACAGATTTCTGCTGCTCCTATCAAAGTGGATTAATTACTTTTACCTTAAATCTTTAATATCATAGTAGGGAGTTTGAGGTTTAGTTTGAAGATTTTGTTCATATTTTTGTTTCAATTTTGCTTTCTTAAGATTTAAATAGTTTTGACAGATTTGGCTAAGGATTTACTGATTTTTGTCTTCTCCACTTCAAATGTTCTATATTTGACAACTTATAACAAATAACATTTCCCCCATACAATTAAAAATGTACTATATTTTGGGGGCAAGAATAGTAAACAGGAAGGAGATTAAAGAAATTTCAGAGACAAGTCAATAGATGAACATAAAAGTAAGATCTTTGGTTTAATTAGTTTTACTTCTATTTGAAAATGCTTCTTAATAACAAGATAACTTATCCTGGAAAGAGCAAAAATCCAATATTGAAAGGTAAATCTCAGCTTTTTCAAGCCTTCTAAGTAGACTGTCAAGAGTCATTAAACTTGTTTAATTTTGTAATATGTGGTTTATACACTATGAGTGAGAACACAGTGCAGTAGCTAGTAATTTTGRTTCATTATAAACAAAATATTGCCCTGACATATGGAAAGTGGTGGAACAGACATGGACAAAGTAGAAAAGATACAGGACCATCGTATAGGTACATGTCTTTGGTGGAGAAAGAAAACATGTCCGATGAATACAGCTCATAAGGATTCTTGTTTGTTATAAAATATGTTTTTAATAAAATTGTATACTTCCAGTATGGAATTTCTACCATGCTGAATGATGACTGTGCTAATTAAATCCTTAAGACAGTGCTGATCTGGTCTGATGCTGGGATTGCATGTTATCATCACAGAATTTAAACCAGTAAGAGCAGCAGACATTTTGTTTTGCTCCTTACTTTGGCTTTGTGATTATGTTACTGTACATCTGAAGAGAAAAGTACTTCTTTAAATAAATGGATGTTCATGATATGAAACAGATGTTCTAGCCAGAATAAATGTGGGAATTGAAATAAAGTTTTAACTATGTTTATACTTTTGAGTATTCAGTGGTAGAGCCAAAACAAAATGAAAAAGAGTCTCTGCTTTGAAAGCTATAAGGAAAGAAAGAAAAAAGACAAAGGAAGAAAAAGTTACAAGAAGTAAATATTCAAYGGGCATCATTTATGAAATTGAAATATCCTTTGCCATTTTTAAGTAGTAGAGGCTTAATTTTGATAATCTGGTAGTGTCAGGGATAAATGAACCTGGAATCTCGAAACCTGAGATTCAGATTTTGTGTACCTTTGCCCAGTTTTGGATGGGGAGAGATTTTGAACCATCATCTCATGAGCTTTAGGATTCCTTGGCATGCTTCCACTCTGTCTGTAGGTAACTCAGGGCTGAAGGGTGGAATGAGCATGTCCTTTAGCAATCCTGTTTCTCTGTCCACACAGCTGAATTTTCAAATAGCACTAGAGCACTTACTGGCTATCTTTTTCTTTTGAATAGCTTTCTTTTCTTTCTTTCTTTTTTTTTTTTTTTTAAGAAATTCAGTCTCTGCCATGCTAGTATTTTATTTTACAGTCTTTCTCATCTCCTATCACTCCTGTTTTCCCCATAAATGGGAAAGTGCTTCATTGACATTAAAAAGGTAAGCCTGAGAGCCCTCTCCCAGACTTCAAGCCCTGTTTCAAGTAGAATGAGAGTTGTCATTGTTTAGAATTCAAAATACCAGATTATCAATAGTCTTTATAAATACAAAGAGACAATTTTTTTTTTTCATCTTGGAACTTATATGCAGTCAATACTCATCACATACTTACTATAGACAGTCATGGGGATTTCTTTGAAGGTGCTGCCACGAACAAACTGAAAATAAACGATTATATTCAGTAACATAAAATATGGTAATTGCATTAACAAAACATTGCACCACTTTAATTCTTGCTCAAGAAAAATAGTGAAGCTGTCCCTACACTTAATAGAAAGGAAATCCTTTCATAGTTCTTTGTTGTCATGTCAGAGACATAAAAAATAATTGGGTTTGTCACTCAGCATTTTAAAATTATAGAATAATTAGTCCAAAGTTAAATATGTTTATTAAATATTATTAGATGCTTTCTGCTACTTTAAGCCCAGAAAAACAAAGGGGCAAAATACGCTTTTGCCTTTGATCTGTGATTACTGACAATGTTTTATAAGTAATTTCTTTATTTTTTCATTATATTTAGTAGCAAGAATATTTGATATATAAACATTTCATTTATATGTATATGTCTTAGCTTCCCAATTAGACTGTAAACTTTTTGAATAAACAGCATCTGATTCAACTTAGTATTTTTCAGGACATTTAAAACACTAATTTTTTCCCAAATAGCTTTGAATAGGTATTTATTGATCCAAACTATGAAGAGATTGTTGCTTTTTTATAGGATGGCTTGTAGTACATAAGCAACAAAGAGCAATCCAAGCCCAGTGTATGCTTACTTATTAATGCCTACATTTCTAGTCTTTCATGCTCAACCTGCAATATCTGTTCAACATATGAGAAATACATACAATAGGATTTCTGTACCTTAATTTGGATGTATTTGATCAGTTTATTAAGGATTCCCAGAAGCTGATCATTTCCAACAGGTGTGTCTGTGAAAGGTAACATTAAATGAAAGTCGGTATGTAAAATAAAAAATGTAAAAAAAGGCCATCAATGAGTTCAATAACTACCAACCTGCTGGGTAGAGGAGTTTATCTACAACATGAATGACACCATTTGTTGTCATTATGTCAGATTCTTTGGATTTCAATTCATTCACCAGAAGGGTATCATTTACCTATCAAAACAAGGAKGTAAGGTCAATGAGAAATTTAACAAAGAATGGACATGAAGATAATTTAATAACAGATGGACACTTTAACAGGTTCATTCTGGAAAACTTACTCCTTTCACATAGATTTTGCTTCCTTGTGTGGTCTTCAGAATGTTAGTAACGCCAGGTTCAAATCCCTTTCCAATGAAAACTCCTGGGGTCAAGTGGTAAAGGATGATGTTTTGAAGAGCATTTTTGTCCCCTACGGGTCAAGATATATATTTGCTTAATAATATGTCATATTTTCTGATGTTTCAATAGTACTGAGAAAGAGAAACAAAACAGTTGTCTTTCTGTTTCCTGTGGGTTTTTTTTTCCCATTATGTCATTGTTCTCTCAAAATAGTATCAATGCTATGTCAAAATGTTCAGTCATTTCATTCACTTCAACCCAAATATTACCCAAATGAATGGAGGAATCAAAATCAAATTAGTCCTGAAATTAGAACTATTTTCTTCTCTGCCATGTATTTGTGTGTCCTTTAATAGCAACACAAAAGTAAGAAGTTTAAGAACATTAATGAATGATCCTCTGTACTTCCCAAGCTGAACTAGAGAAAACTAGAGCTTGCCATGACTACCAAAGAAGAGACATCTTCTTAAGCAGTAAGGAAGAAAAGCTTGAAGAACAACTGAGATCCAGAAATGAAAGGATAAATATCTGGCATCGACTTCTACTCACTGATCAGAATTTCCTTTTCTTCATTAGTCATTCCTTTGAAGGCTTCGTTGGTTGGAGCAAATAAGGTCCAATCTCCAGGTTGTGTCAGGAGATCTCTCAAGTCTGCAGCTTCAAGTAGGCTGAGGAAGATGCTAAGCAGGAAGCAAGTATATTTGTTAAGCTAGACTTAGCTTTAGGTAGGTTCATCCACCATACAAAGACTATAATTTAATTTATATTGTAGAAAGAAAGAGAAGCATCTTACATTTTCAAGTTTCAAAGACAACTTTAGCTGTGAAGAAAAGCTTTATCATGGAGAAATAATTAAAATGTACAGCATTACTTTTGAATTTCCTCAACTGTTTTTATCTTATAAAACTTGTCAACATCACGTTTTATAATGAAATAGAAGATTTTTTTCATTTAATATTCTATAAAATTCTATTTGCTAGTGTATACTTTCATTTTGTTTGTGTGTGTCTGCGTGTGTGTGTGTGCGCACGCACGCGCGCACTGTTGGGGATTGAACCCAGAATTTTATACATGTGAGGTGTGAGGCAAGAGCTCTGCCACTGAGCCCTATACTGTTATTTTTAATAAACTAAATCATAAGAAAATTTCCAAGGAGTTGTTCAGTATATTTGATTTTTTTTAATTCATCAATCATATAGTGTACCACATTAAATAGCATTTAAAATATTGGCCAAATTATATTGTTAAATTGTGTGCATGTACAAATATATAACAACAAGTCCCATCAATATGTACAACTATATTGTACAAATATAAATGTGGAAAAACATGAATTTTGAAAATGTTTATATGGACTTGTTATTCTAAATTATATTCTTAGAAATACAGGAAACTGACTTCTTTTGGAGATTATCAAATAAAAATATGCTGGTAGCTCTCATTCTTTTTTGGAGGTACAACTAATAAGCTTACCTAAAGCGTTTATCTTGCTTTAGTTTTTCATGGAGGGATTTCTCTGCAGGCTGGATGATCTCTCGGAATATGTGAATGGCACCATTTCTTCCTTGCTTGCTTCCTCTCACCATGCAAGAATTTTCAATGCAGACAGCCTAAMAGAGCAAAGAAAGATACACGATGTCCTTTCCATTGCTTGAAACTTTCCATTTGATATAGCTATGTGCTTACATTTTTGGACTGGCTCTTCTGAGAGGTCTCTTGACCCATGAAGCCAGAGAAAACAGTTTCTCTCCTCTGTTTTCAATGTCTTTCAATTCATGACTTCTAATGCTGTAAAGTTTTCTATACTAGTCAAATTATCCTAAACATCAGGCAGACAATTTTGTCAGTGAATTGCAAAAATTCCATACAATTTCACTCCTACTTTCCAAGTTCTATTTCCCTAGACYCTCTTTAGGTCAATATTAACCATACAGTTTTTTGACTTTAATGCCTCTTGTTATCTTCACAGGTATTTACTATATATTCTTGACTGTAAGATTCAATGAATTACAAGTCAAACCATTGATTCATTTATAGTTTCTTGAATAAATGTGATTTGTGTATATGTGTCATTCAAAGTGAAGTGTGTTTACTGTGTAATTTAAAAAGTGTGCCTCGAAATTATGGATCTAAGGTAAGCAGCTGCTGTGTCTAACTCAGTTCTAGGTAATGCTTGATTTCCTTTGAGACCTTTTTTTGTAGCTGCAAACATTCCCTGGTTGGAAAGAGAACAGTTCCACTGGTTGCACTGTAATTTTGATAAGAATTATTTCTAGAAATTTTCCTGTTGGTAAATGCATATTAGAATATTTTTTATAGAGTCCAGAAATTTCTATGTATCTATAAAAATTTATCTTGACAGTTGTTAAAAAAAATATTTCATTCTTGAATGATGTTTACTATAAAACATTATTCCATATTTTATATTCTATATACAAAGATCCTTGTAAATTATAAAGTACTCTACATTATTTAAGGGTGGCTTTTGGTGCTTTCTTAGTATTTAAAATAATCTGATTTTTAGAACATAAAGTCATTTATTTAATGAAACAAATGGAAATTATCAGAGTTATTAATACATAGGTCTTTTGGTGTATTTTCATTACAAATTTTTTTTTACCCATGCTACCCAGATCCCATTTCCTGATTTTCCTATGAATATTTACTATTAAAATTGATTTCATAAAATTCTGGGAAACATTTGTTATAACTATGTCCTTTTGACCACATGCAAGTCATTTGATGTTTAGGCCAATGTAGATTTTGATCTTGTTCTGATTCACTTACTGTGCGATACACAAAGACTCTGAGTTGTTTGCCTCCAATGGTCTCGAGTATCTGTCCATTGTAAAGCTCATTAAGGCCAACTTTTACTTTCAATATGTGATTCTGCAGAATTAATTTAAGAAGGCGTTGATCCATGCTCAGAGTGTCATCTATAAATAAATTCATTAAGAAAAATCATTATTTTATGTGGAAAACATTTGTTTCTCSTGAAATGGATAACTTCTAATACTATTAATGTGGATCCTATGTAGTCATTATTTGAGTTGACTAAATGTGCAAAGCAAGTAATTCAATTACCAAGTAGAGACTCTATGGCCTATTGCATCAAAAGATTATTAATGTGGTTCTAAGCAGTTCAGACAATGAGCTTCATGGCTGCAAAGGCTACATACATTTTTGGTGGTCATTGTACAAAGCTAAACCCTTATAGTGGCCAAAGGTTTTCTGACAGTTAGATATCCATTAGTCATATGAATGATTATTAATGAATTATTTGTAAATCCATTGTTTTTAAAAAATTATTTTGTACTAGGGCAGTTTACCACTGAACTACATTACCAGTCCTTTTTTTTTGTTTTTGTTTTTTTTTAACTTTGAGACAGGGTTGCTAAGTTGCTGAAGCTAGCCTTGAACTTGTCATACTTCTGCCTCAGCCTCCTGAGTGGCTGGGATTTTAGGAATGCACCACTGCACCTGATTGTAAATTGATATTTATTTTGGGAAGAAAAATCACAGAATATAAACTCTTATAAAAATGTGTCAATGTCAAAACATATGGGCATCATTATTGCAAAGGAAGTGGAAAAGTAATATATCTAGGAATTATATTTTTCTAATTAATAATTTTCTACATTATAATTTACTAGCTGAAAAAAATATCAAAAGTGCAACTTTTAAATTACTAAATTTTGCCTAACAATTTAAATATTTCTTCATGAAATAATTTTTCTGAAAAAAGTGGCCGTTTCCATTAATCTAAACATTGTTGTTAAATAACAACCACTAGGTGAAAAACGTATAATATTTCACACCATGATATAGAAGTGCATAATAGTCTCTTATTTGTGTTTATTCATAATCTGACAGCCATGCTTTCCAAATTCTGGGATGCAAAAGACATCAATTTATCTCTAAATATTTTTATATTGGTGTCAAATAAACAAATAATGTATAGTTTTCTTTAATCTATTAATGCATCCTTATGTGTACTGAGAATGTTATTAGATTCACAGATTAACTGAATACTTTATATCAAAGCTTCCATTCCCTGCATGCTGTTATCTATCATAATGAAATGTTTTGAAGTGAAGAATTTTTTACTTTAGACAGTGTAGAGCTAACATGTTGTATGTGTAACCAATACAAAAACTAATCAGCATCTCGTAAAACATGTATTATTTGTTATTGCAAATCATGGTGAAGCAGTAGAAAGGTCTATGGGGGAGGGAGAAGAGCAAGAACAACAGTGTCCAGTACATACCAGAAAAGGCATTGTTCACAGGTGCCAACAAAGTGTACTCTCCATCTGGCTTCAGAGAGGATGCCAAGCCTAATTGGGCCACAAGGTCTGTGAAAGTGGTTTGCTGTTTTCCGGCCAGCTCAATAACTTGTTTGGCTGTAAAATAAACCATCAGCATCCCAACAATGTCATCATTGTTATTATCATTGTAACGAGATTAGTAAATCAATTCTTGGCTCTTTTCTAATATTGCAAGCTATTTACTGCAATGTCAATCTAGTAAGACATCCAGCCCTTTCCTAGTAAKAAGGTTCTAGTTTCCATTTTGGGGGTTGATAACCACAAAGAATTTCAGAAGTGAATTTTCTTCCTGACTTCCTACAACAGTTTCTTTGATTCTCTATTGCTTCTCTTGTTCTCCCCTTGAAAGTCCAACAGTTTTTCTGTTTATCCAAAGCTGACCATTTAGTTATACCTTTCCTTTTGTTTCAAAGAAAAACCTGGCTCAGTGAGGGCCCTTACAAATATTGAATGTCAGACACCCTGGAATGGCAAAGTCCCGTTCATGGAATGCCCACGACTACTCATCTACTTACTTGGTACTTGGCTAGCTCACTCTTCATTTTGTTTGTGCTTCTTATGCCATTCTTTATGCTGCATGTTTATTTTTCATGAACTTACTCTTACTTTTTTTTTTTGTACCATTGGATTGAACCCAGGGGCACTCAACCATTGAGCCACATCCCTATTCCCTATTTTGTATTTTATTTAGAGACAGGGTCTCACTGATTTGCTTAGCACCTCACTGTTGCTGAGGCTGGCTTTGAACTTGTGATCCTCCTACCTCAGCTTCCCAAGCTGCTGGTCTTACTCATTTTTCTTGAGGAATAATACTAAGTTAAAAAAAAATCATGAAACCGATGCTTACCAGAATCAGGAATGAGGACCTCATCAATCAAATGAATCACACCATTATTTGTTACAATATCTTTTTTGTTCACCATTTTGACTCCATTTATTGTTATGCTGTCTCCTTCACATCCTATCTCAATTGTATTTCCTTCCATGGTCTCAAACACAGCTCCTCCCGTAATGGCCTCAGAACATTGGAGGGTATTCAAAATGTGGTACTTCATGAGAGCTGGAGGGCAAAATAAAAAAGCAAGCGCTCATATCAAAGGAAATAGCATTTGACCCTTAAAATATGTGCTTCAGAGTGGAATTAAATATGCCTAAGAAATAGAACACAAATGTAAGCCCTAAGGATTGACTGCAGATTTTAAAATCTTAACTGTTTATGTTTTTAGGAACATAAACATACACAGTAGGGAGAAGAGAAAATCAGCTTCAGAAATGATTTTTGTGGTACTAGAAAGTGTGGTAGATTTCGTTCCAACTGTCATAAGAAAGTAATTCTTGATGTGAAGGCGAGAAAAAAAAATCAGCCCTTTTGGAAGACTTGTAAAGTTATTTGTTAGTGATATCTTTGCTGAAATACCCAGGCAGCATCTGGTATGAGCTGCTCCCAGTAGAATGTCTTTCCTTAATTTGTTATGAGGTTGATGGGGGCTGAGGAGAAGACAAATAATTCCCTCAAGACAACATCCAGGAAGTTCCAAAATAAAAATGATTTCCTGAAGGATATCTAGAGCAATCTATACTTCAACTATGTTGACCTCAAAATTCCTCATCTTAAATCCATTAAATGTATTTTGGGATAAGCTGGGTGTATGGAATATGCTAGCACCATGTATACTCTTTTTGACCACAGAAAGGACAACTGGAAAGAAACCGAATTCTTCTGGGTGTCAATACGTAGTGACCCAGTAATTTTCTCAGCTCAAATATACCTTTTAGCATACATTTAGAATTAAAAGCACAACATAATGTGTGTGTGTGTGTGTGTGTGTGTGTGTGTGGTGTGTGTGTGTGTGTGTGTGGTGTGTGTGTGTGTGTGGTGTGTGTGTGTGTGTGTGTGTGGTGTGTGTGTGTGTGTGGTGTGTGTGTGTGTGTGGTGTGTGTGTGTGTGTGCGGTGTGTGTATATATATATATATATATATATATATATATATATATAAATGAAAGTTGATGATCTAATATTTCTTTTCAACACTGGCCAAACTTTCTTTTTGTCTGCTACTTATTTACTTGAAAGCAGCACAAGAGGCTATAACCTTCTTGAAAGCAGCACAAGAGGATGTAACCTTAAAGACACTTTTTATTATTTAAGAATTTTATTCTGCCTATGCTTTCAGGAACTTTTAAAAAAATATTTTATAGTGCACCTCAGAATGAAATGTTTCTTTGTCTTTTCTTATCAAACTTTATATTACTGGCAAGAACAATTTTTTTTTTATTTTTTATTTTGTTGCCTTCCCAGAGTTCTGGGGGACTTTTCAGAGAGGAATGTGGTACCTTCAAAAGCCACTTTGTCTCCCATGATCCTTTCTAGGACACCTCGTGGGAGTTTCTCAAAAGCCTCATTGGTAGGAGCAAAGAGGGTGAAGTGACCATCTCTTCCAAGGGCCTCTAGTAAGTCAGATGTAATGGCAGCTGCCTGAAACATAAATGTGTTTTTTGGAGGATTACACATTGCAAAGATCTACCAGAGGAAAATTACAACACACTTAGACTAGGCTGACATGAGGGAGTTGATTTCTTCACTTAAGAAGTTTGTTCTTGGTAGACCTTTAAAACATTACTTTTGGCACAACCAGTTATATCTAYTCCAACTTTCTTCAAACAGTGTCTGCCAGAATGGAATTCTGCCAGTGTTTGTGTGACTATAGCAATATCCAGAAGTACATACAATAACTGAGATGGACACAGTCTAAATGCACTTAATACAATACAGTCACAGAACTAATCATTCTTTATCAATCATGTCCACATTAATATTACTTCATATGAGATGATTTCTCCTGCATAAAATGACAACAGTTTAATTTCATGAAATATAGTTACATTTCTGCCAGATTTGTTTAATAGCTTTTTTTACTGTTGTTGAATTTTGACAGGGAAAGAGGAGGGATTTCAATGATCCAAAAGAATCTGCTCTTGTACTTACTCTAAAAGATGAAAGGTCATCTTCTGCTTCAATGAAGTCTTGAATTGAAGTACCAATTTGTGTAAGGACACGGTCAATGACATGTACAACACCATTTGTGGCAATCTGGTTCCCATGGATGATTCGAGCACAGTTAACGGTGACAACCTWCAATTATTTGGGAATATCAGAAAACTGAAATCAGAGTCATCCACTGACCACTGAGACCACAAGCCCACTTATAGGTTTTGTTTATTCTATTATATGGAAGATGAAGGGGCCTATACTCTGAATGTAAATGCTGTGGAAGAACAAAATATTTAAAAATCAAAATGAAAGAGAAAATAGAACCAGTTCAGAACCTGGGTTAGTTACACATCTTGTATCTGGAAACATAAGGCAAAGCAAAACATTTTTTAAAATTTGAATTATTGCTTATTTTCTCTTTCATACATATAGCTAAATTATTTCTAATGGAGGTCAATGAATTATATAAAGAAATCTAATTAGTCTTAAAATAAGTTCTGAGAAAATGAAACAAATTATTATTGCAAAAATATAGCCATTTCTATTATAATGACTACCTAAGTTTTGTTTATCACTAACTCATTTTGTCCCTGGGAATGTAACCATAGGAAAATTATATAGCCCTGTTGGCAGCTTCCCCTAAAATCTATCCAAACACACAAGGATCTCAATGGCATCATAGCCAGAGAGTAATAAAAGAACACCCATTCTCTGGTATCCWTTTTGCTATCTATAAAAATATTTTAAACATATCAACTACTAAATTCTCCTATCTTATGAAATCTAAGTTGACTGGTTAATGAACTGCCAATGTATTTTATGTTTCATTATCATTAGTAGAAAATAGTAACTGGATTGAAAATTTACATACCATAGATCTGAGGAAAGTTATGATGCATGCATTCATATTATTCTCACTRACATTTTACTATTTCTTTTAATTTTATATAAAATGTACAGACAAGATTAAGAGAGACATGGCCCAGAAATCCACTTTATTTATAATTGAAACTTACCCCATTAGGATAATGGTTAATGAAAAGCCCCAAGTTGTTGTACATTGAAGGGATAACCATGCCATTTTTTAAGTCCTTGGTCAACATCCTCTTATTAACCATGTGGCTATGCAAAGCATTCAACAATTCAACATTTACATTGTTCTCCAAACCTCTACGGATATCCTAGGAAAGATTGAAATGATAGAAATTTATTTTATTGTGGTTCATTATTGAAATTCTTATGATCACTTTTTACTCTCATTACTTTCTTATTGCATTATCAATTGGTTACACAAAAGTGAAATAAGTAACTTAACATTACAATCTTATTAAGAAATTTTATAGGTACAAATATTCAGTTAAGGATCCTGAATCTGATAGAGTGCTTGTGTATTTTTAGAGACAAAATATAAATTTTAAGTGAATATGCTAATGAAGAAACAATCATGATATAAATTAAAGACCTAATGGGAATTATCAGATATTTAAAATACTTTAGGTGGGTAAAACTCAAAATGACATTATATTTGTATTCAATACTTGATTTTTAATAAGGATTTTATTTATTATATAACAAATTCAAGAGTTTGACCCTCCTCTACCATTTAATCTATTGCATTGTAATTGATGTTAAAGGAAATACAATAAAGTAAAATCTCAATCTCAATGGGACTTATATTACAATAGGTAAAGATAATTATAGCTATATTTAGTATATAAGGAAAAAATGTTTTCAGGGGTCCAGTGATAAATGCCACTGTTCTTAAAGTGATTTGGAGAGAGACATGGAAGAAAAGATGAGACTTGTTGGTCATTCTGAGTTCAGCAGCTAACAGAAGGTGAATATTGAGAGCAAGGTCCAGTTTCGTTAACATACTTTTATGTTTCCCAGATAATATTAAGACATTTAGAAATGCATGTGGTATGATAATAAAAAGGATTTTAATGTCTGAATAAGGACATTAAAGGGGTAACCATGCCATTTTTTAAACTGGCAATGCGGAACTACTGAAAAATTTTGACTTTGGAATTAGAACTAGGCTTTAGGAAGGTCAATCTAGAGGGAAGGCACAGCAGAAATTAGAGTATTAGTTATGAGGATTACTTCAGATGGAAAATAAGATGTGGTTGATTGATAGTAGAATTGGAAGGAGGAGAGGTAAAGATGACTTATGATTTTCAAGTCTGAACCTTGAGATTGGTACTGTCAATTATGGGGAATAGGCAGCCAGAAAGCAATTATTTATGATAGAGAGGGAAAAAATGGCATATGTTTTGGATATTTTCTGTTTAAATATGCAAATGGTATAACCAAGAAAAAATATTAAGAGTAATATTAGAAATACTCTACTGGTGTTCCAAGGAGAAACTAACACTGGAAACACAGATTTCTTGGCAATGATCTATAGTGAGTTGGAGTCATCAGAAGTTCAGATAAAGGGCAGAGTTCAGTTCCTAGAAAAGATTTTTATAAGTTCCATTCTTAAGGCAAGGAAGAGAAGGAATCCTCAACAGGAAATAAAGAGGTGGTTGAGACATGGAGAAGGACCACAAGAGATCCTTCTATAATCCAAACAGCCTCAGCTCTGTAGAAAGACAACAGCTATGAGTACATACCTCCATTTTAGTTAAGTATATTTGACTATAGTAGGAATTATCAACTCATTTTCCTATCAAATAGAAGGTAAGGGTATACTTCTATTCCAATTTTACAAATTTAAAAAAGGAATCATAACCCAAAAGTTGTAAATTAGACTGTGTACAAAGTGCCCTCTCAGTTCATTCTTGTTTTCTCTTTGTATGGATCAATCTGTAAGTCTGCTGGGAAATCAATTCCATTTATTAATGTATGAAAATAAATACCTCCTCTCAGTGACTMAGTCTTTTCTATATCCTCATATATGTCCAATAGAAAATATATATTTTATTAATATGCAAGTTAGTTAAAATAAAATGATAACAGCAAAATATTTTAAAAAATGAATTACAGGATCCAAGTTGTCCCAAGCCTCATTACTCGGTGCGAAGTAAGTGAATGATCCTTTTCCTTCGATCTCTTCTCTTAGTCTTGAGACATCAGAATAGTGCTGGGTGGTGGTGGCTCCTACTATGCCCAGTGTGCCATAAACATGGTCAATAGGCATAACTGAAATAGTCAAGAAATGAGGAAGTACTCAGGTTAATATTTCCAGAACATTGTTTCACAATCAATTAATCTTTTCACTAAGTTCCCCAATGTATTTAATGAATAATTTTAGAAATAAGTTCCATGAATTCTCCATATTACATGAATATTATCTTTTGCATGCTAAATAATAAAATATTATTTGAAAGTATTATTTCATGTATCCATTGTGTTGATGGAAAATGGTTTTTAAACTATTATCTTGGATTAACATTTAGTCTATTTGGGTTTCATTCTTGCTATGCCATATCAGTAATAGCTCAATCATAATTATCAGAACATATCTGATGATTTTATTGAAAAAATATGCTCTTCACTTTCTACTAAGAATGGAAAATATAATAATTTCTAAAATGTTGGTTTGAAGCCCTAAACTGTATGATATTGTTATTTAAATCTACAATTTTTATAGTTTAGGGCCACTAAAAGACCCACTTGTCTTCATGATAATTTCAGTTAGGGGACAGAACAAAGTAACTAATGCTTTCCTGAATTTCAGAAGAAAGATTCATGTATGAACATAAACCCAACAATATTTGTTTAGTAATATGTAGTCAACTTACTTTTCTGACACTATGTGATTTGAAAATTATCATAATTTAGATGTTATCATAGAAAAATGGTTATTACATTTGTGAAGATCCCAAGAAGAGGTGACAAAATTAATAAATTAAAGCATAAAACCAGGATCTAAAAAGATCTCAAGCAAAGTGGAAGAACTGAGTCAAAATGAATAAAGTTATATTTAACAGGGTTCTATGTTAGTCCTGTGCCTAAACTGAAAAAATAAACCCTAGGGAGACTTGTCTTGATGATACTCATGTAAAATAACCTGGAATTATTCTTAATTGATCACATATTCATTCTGTGCTAATCATATGCTATGAGTCACCGATGACTTGAGCTGACATGCAGGGTCTTGGAAGATGAGGTGCTTGTCTTGGTATTCTCCCCACATGGAGATCCACCTGGACTGAATGCAGTTCCAAAGTAGTATCCTGCAGTCCATGGGTCCCAGTTCTTTAAGAGTTTATGTACATTAAAGGATGAGTATTATTAACTCAGAGAAGAGAACATTTTTTTTTGAGAAAGAGAGGACTGCTAGAGGAATAATGTGATGATTGTAAGTAAATATCTGACTGTCAGACATTTCAAAGAAAAAATAGATGAACTATGTTTACTCTAGTTGGCAGTTATTAGAAACTAATTTTCCCTTTAAAGAACATTATGAAGTCAAAGATTTTCAACTACAGAAGATGTTGCCTTGCTAAGCAATGAGTGTCATGTTTCTAAACAAGTTCCCAAAGGGGATTTTTGTACTTCAGGGGATGTTTAATTAATTTAAATTAATGACTAGCTTCTATTATATTGTCCAGTATCCAGTCCATGAGAAGAATATTCTACCATTATATTTCTATGATAAATTCATCATTAGCACAAAGATATGGATAACATATGTTGGTTTAACAATGGTGCTAAGTAAACACACATCATTTCTCTCTCTCTCTCTCTCTCTTTCTTTTTTTCTTTCTTTTTTTTTAATTTTCTGGTGCTAGATTTGAATCTGAGACTTTGGGGATGTGAAGCATGTAGTTTTCCAACTGAGCTATATCTCCAGCCCAATGTACCACTTCTCCCAAAGGTTTCTCAAATGTTTCTTTCTTGCAGAAGGCAGATTCCTCATTTAATTCATTACAATTAATTTAGAATTTACCTGCTGGGCAGCCTTTCATTCCTTCCATTCTCATGTAACCAGGGCAACATTCATATAACACTGTCCTGTGCATTGGAAGAAAATTAATATTAAAATAGAGAACTGCATAGGATATATTGTGATGTAATCTTGGCAAAATGTGTCACTGTCACAAATTGAGTCTAGAAACAACAACCCCTGCACCAATATATGTATATTAGTATGACTGTTCTCTACAGTCTCATGGCACTGTGGAAAAGTCTGCAATCCTGATTCAAAAGAACAAAATTTGTGACCCGGTTTTTCTACTTGGTAGATATATGACCTCAGGCAAATCATTTGATAAATTAGCACTGCGGTTTCCCCAGATATTTAACATGGACATGGTAGCAACAATACTTACTCACAAGGTAGTTGTGAATCTCAAATAAAAGTGATTTTGGAATAATTTTGTATACTACAACCAATTAAAAATGTTCATTAGTATAAGGTTCATAGAAACAATAGAAAAACTATATATTAACCCATTCTGATCCATAAAAGTCCACCTCTTTTCTAACTAGAATAAATAATGCTATTGTTTGGTTTGAATTGTCAGTAGAGTTATTAATCTGATCATGGCAAACAAATAATCTTTAAAATCTTTTCTTTATTTTTATTTTTGTCAAATTTGAAAACACAATATAAATATTTTTTTAAGTTGYTACAATATTCATGAAAATGTTTCCCTGTTCAAAGTTTACAAAGTATGCTACTTTCTATAGTAATAATTAAGGCAAAATACAGAAATTTMAACCAAAAATATACCCCAAATAACTTTATCTAATTTTCTATACTTTGAGATAAATTAATAAATTAAAGTTATCTAATTATTTTCATTATTTTCACTTTGTTAATGATTAATCCCGATTTTCATCTTATTTAGGGCATTTTCTGGACTTTTTCATGTTAGCCAAGATGGTATTTTTTAATTAAAATTTTACCTAATGTCTTATATTTTCTTCTACTAGCAATGTAAAGAGGAATGTATCAAAGAGCAATTTAAAATAGACTATGACAAGTGAAGGGGAAATAAATACCATTTTATAATTTTTAATTAGAAATTATTTATCATATGGATTAAGAAAATTATTTGAAGATTATTTTGCAGCCTAATGATTAAATATAAATTAGCTAATTCAGACACTAATTATTTATTTTCATCTAGTATGAAAATTGTACTAAGTAAGTAAAAAGGACTGATAGAATTTGGACATACATAGTAGAATTTTTGGCAACTGTAAGAATAAAAAACTTAGTATGATAAAAATCATGAAAGGAAATTTTCATGAAGGCAACTTTTAATAACAGAAGACACCATCTTATACAACTGAAAAAATATAAACATAAATTGAAGAAAAGTTCACTAATTAATTACCCATTATTTGTGAACTTGGATTCCTATTTCTCTATTTTGTTAATTAAAAGTTTCTAAGGGGTCAGGGATATAGCTCAGATGGTAGAGTGCTTGCTTTGCATGCACAAGGCCCTTGGTTCAAACCCCAGCACCACCAAAGGAAAAAAAAATTTTTTCTAGTATAGAATATTGACTTGAGGAAAATTAATAGATAAGAAGATGAAAAAATAAAATGGAAAATGCTTATTTCAAATTACTAATTTTAATATTCTTTCAAGAATAAGTGGTATGGGGAAAATATGTGAACTGTGTGGTAATCTTATGAAAATCTTAATATGGTCTATGAAAATGATTTATTTACATGGGTCTCTGTATAAATAAATGTAAATATTGGGATGTCAAGGGGTTGATTAAATTTGCTTATACTTTATATTTAACTYGTATAGAGTAAAATAATGAGATACAGATGTGCTTAGTCTAGAGGCTTGAAGTAAATAGTGAATAGAAAAGAAAATTAATATAACAAAAATTTCTACAACACATGCTAATAATATTTCTGCCCTAGTGTAGAAAATTAATGAACCAGATGGGAAAATTTTTCAAAAACGGTTGAATTTAATTTTAGTTGATAGTTTAACAACATGATTATCTGAGTAGATATTTTTAAAACAAAAAGGTGTTTTTTTYCCCAAAAGAACATTTATACTACATAAAACTCAATGTTCCCATATGGTCAGTGGGACAAGGGAGGAGAAAAGAAAATATTACTATGCACAACTTGGAACACAGGAAATTTATCTTCCTAGACTGAATAGTATTTAAAATGTCATGGAATGCCAACTTAAAATGTCACTGACATTCTATAAAGAGTGTCTAGAGAATAATTTATTACAGAACCAATATATACTGTGGCCAGTATCTTAAACCCAGAAAGTTTATGCTCTTCATTAGACTTGTCAGTTAACTCCCCCCAAATTCCCCAAACAACTGTTYAATCAGAAGGTAAACGTTTTTCTCAAATGATACATAAAGTCTTAAAGATGTCTCTGGAAATTGGAGCCAAACAAGCAGATGGCAAACCAGTCATTCTTCTTGTCAATCTTATTGATTTCTTAGGTTATATGAAACTAGCATTTGCATTTATTTCAGTGCACAGATGTAAATGTATTTGTGCAAATGAAGCTTCTTGAGGGAAATTAGCTAMTGTATTTGGACAAAGGAGACACTGTTACATTTCTGGTGAAAGGTCAGGCTTCAAAGCAAGATTCTTCTCTCTCAATGGAAAGCAAGAAAGAGTCTTGGCTTTTGTTCTTTTTATAAATTTTGGCATCTTTAATATATTTACATGATTAAAGTAAGGCTATAGTACACTTCCTCAACTTCCAGAAAAGATGTAATAAAGATTTTCCTTAAATATACAGATTTTCCTTTCTTTCCTAGTTAGTGTGCATTCTAAATATGTCTTATGATGTCYAAGAACACAAAAAACAAAGAAAATTCAGAGCTTTAGAGTTCCCAAGGAGGGTCTGGCTTGCAGCCTGGGGGAGGAAGATCATTGTAAACACTAACTTCCATTATAATTGTGTGAATGACTCACACATCTAACAGATGTCTCCAACCTAAGAGCAATAACGTCTAGGTCAAAAAATAATATCCATTGAGACTCTATTAARACAATGAACAGGAAACTAGCAGCCAAATCCTGTGGTGTTCTAGACTTGATCACCATGGGGAGATGATATAGTACAGTTAAGGTCATATCCCTGTGTAAAGGAATTTTGCTTGGACATAAAGATGACCCTTTCCATTTCAAGTGGACATCTTGTCACAACTGTTTTTCCCATCCACACGCACACATTTATTTAAGATAGTTTAAGAACAACTTACATTAGGAGTTATTGTTACACATTTCATCATCTTATCATCTCAGAAACTCTATAATAAAGGTAGAAACCAATGTTCCACAAGAAAAAGATTCAGAAAATTAAGTGATTCCATATTAATATTTGAACCAATAGTGTTGGGTTATAAATAAGTTTTAACCAAATTTTCCACTCTATTTAGGGTAACTAACATGACGTGCTAAGCAGGTTCTTTAGGTATTTTGGTTCTCACTAAAGGTGGGTTCTACATTTACAGGAAGCACAGAAGAGCTATTTCCAGTATTTTCTTGACTAAGGACAGCATCAAAGCCTTTTTTTTTTTTAACTTAGTAATTTATCCTACCCATTAACCTGCTTCTTAATTGTAAAATGATGACTTGGGACCACACAAGTAGTTCTTAAACTTTATACATCAAGAATTTTCTTCCTATCACTATTTATGATGTAATAAACCAAGAAGCATGTCTACTAAGCGATAAATAATGTTTTTTTAATTAACTTAATCAGTGAAATATATACATAAGAGACTAATCTTTTACTGTTGAAGGATTAAATGTAGTAATGCACTTCCCTCACAGCTTTGTAGACCTTGAGGATCTGGCAGCTTGAGCTAGGAATCCATAGATTAAATGAAGAAATGAGACTTAAGTCCTTTCCAACTTTAAGCCTTCATAAAAACTCAGGTAAACTGGAGCTCTTTAGATAATTTATAAATAACTGGAGGCATACATTAATTTTTGCTTCAAAACTCTTATGATTTCAATCACTTTGTTCTTGTATTTTATTTATTGATTTATTTTGCAGTAATGAGGATTGAACCCAGGGGTGCTCTACCACTGAGATACATACCGAATGGTTCTAATCTTTTTTTTTTTTTCATTTTTTATTTTGAGACAAGGTCTCTCCTGGTTGCAGCGACTGACCTTGAGATGGTATTCTCCTGCCTCAGCCTCCTGAGGGATTACAAGTGTGCACTGTCACACCTGGCTATGATCTACTTACTTTGATAAGATATGGCAACTGAGGCATGGAGACTAACTTACTTGCCTAAGATAAAAGAGGTCAAAATAACAAAAAGAATTAAAAAGGAGTAGAAACAATGGTTAGTTTCTCATGCTGATTTCTATAACAAATGACACTGCTGTGTTTTTCTCCTCCTCTTGGCCTCTAGGACACGTGAATTCAGGGAGAAATCTGAGTTCCATGTGTAATAGTGGAGATGCAGAAAAAGTTTCTTTCTTTATATAACTTGCCATGTCTTTAAAAAACTCAAAATTTGGATAGTTTTTTTCAAGAATGGTGTGCATACCCAAGAGAAGGTATGCTCACTGCCATGTTGTCTTTAAAAGGGGCAAATGATGAAAAAGAAGAGACTCACGTTTTCTTTCCACAGATGGCACCTTGATACCAGTTCTTACAAGAGCTGAAGTATTTCTTTTTTGTGCCTAAAATCTGTTGAAGGGCGCAGACATTTGGGCTGGAAGATAGAGAAAAGGAAAAAGAGTTTAATGGTATTTCATAGTTACATGTAGGTCAGATGGTTAAAAAAAAAGATCAAGACATGAATTTGATAGTCAAAGATATGACTTAAGCCTTGTCCAAGTCCAACTCTTGATCCAATTCTACGAAATCACTGGAAAAACTGAAGCCAGTAGGGGGGCGGGGAGAGAGAGAGAGAGAGAGAGAGAGAGAGAGACAGAGAGACATCTCAGAGTCTCAGAGTAAAATATTACTATTTTAAAAAGCCAACCTAATAGGATACTCAAACAGAATTAAGTGTAACATAATTCTGTTATAATGTGTCTTATGATTTTCAACAACGGATAATCCACTGACAGCTTTAGACCCAAAGTGTTGATTTGGGGGATGAGGGTGTGTTTAAGACTCTCTGGGACAATGAGAGATCAGAGAATAAAAGGGGCTAAGTTTTCCTTTGTACAAAGACATTTTACTCTGTAATTTCCTAGGTAATTACAGAAGTAAATTATTACTAAAAATAACTTTTAAACAATGTGGTTGAGTAAAGGAAAATGTATTTATTTTGTGTGGAAGTAATAGATTTAAATCTTCTCAGCCACAATTTTATTTTATTKTTTTAACCTCTCATAGAAATGTAATTTTTATTCCACTGTAAGGCAAGGAAGCTTTGGAACATTATGAAAAAAAAATCTCTGTGATGCACAGGAAGCAGGGCCAAGATCCACATTAAAATAAGAAAAAAAAAAGATAAACAGTTAAGTTACTAAATTATGTCTACTATTATGTTTAATAAGTTAATAAGTTTTAAAATGCTATTTTATAGTTGCATCCATCCTATCAAATAAAAAAATACTTCAAGGAGTTCAGAGAACTAGTTACATTACTCAATACTTAATTTTCATACATAATTTAAATGAAATTTGCTCTAACATCACATGTGATATTTCAAAGCTCTTCACATAATGGTAGCCTCTACAAACAGAGACTTTAATTTTGAAAGGAAATAAAAACACAAGTGAAATACTAAAGGAATGTCCTGTTAAACTTTGTTCATTAGACTCAAATTACATAATGTCTCTTAAGAAGTAATTACACTCTTATTTTGACAGTAATTCTTTTAAAAGTTTAGAATGCATACATAAATCACAGAATACTCAAATTTCCCTTTTCTTATCACTTTATAAATAGAAAGAAAACACTCCAAAGTTTATACATATAAGCGCATTTTATGTACACTTGCACATATAACAAGCTAAAGGAAAAAAAAAAAAGTTCATAAAACCAAACCACTGACTTACCCCTGATCCCGGCCCCTGATTCGGCTGTGAGCCAAAACTTTGTCATAATAACCGTTGGTGTCTGCAGGGTTAACAACAAAGAGCAGGAAGAGAGAAAATATGGGTAAGGAAAGAATCATTTTTAGTCTCTCCATTGCAGTTAGTCCACGAAGAGAACTGGCAGTGGGCTTTGGAGAGCTCAGAGTTTATATACATGTCAGGGTTGTGGGAGGGAGCAGTGTATCAACCTGAGAATCTGAACTCTCTCCAAGAAGCATCAGCAACTTCAAGTTGCCAGCAAAAAAATCTGTTTGGGTTAGTTATATTTACTGAGTACAGTGAACTCCTTTATCTTCTCATAATAAGGAAGATATTTACTTTAATTACATGAAGAACTGACTCATTGAATGTTCATATTTCAGTTTTTTTCTTTTGTACTTTAGAGGGATTTTTATTGAAAATGATTTTGTCTGTAGTTTTAAGGACTACTCTGCCATCTATCCCATTCAGAGCATATGTCCATGTACTCAATGAAGTGATTATTTGATCTTATCACAGTTGTCACCTTTAGTCCACGTCAGAACTATAAGGYTATTAGTTTTCATCAGAAAAATGATAGTAATTTTGATCATTGCCGAGGGGTAATGGGCGTGGAATTAAAAACAAATTCTGGATAGATTTAYGACTTACATAAAATATGAAATCAGAATTCTAACTTGCTGACAAAGCATGTGGGGAGAAGCCACATTTTCTTTACAGTCTTACTAACCAAGGGAGGTGATTCCCATTTCCTTTCTTTTTTTCAAATATCAAAGAATATATAGAATTAATATAAATCTACTTTCGGCAAGTTTCCCTAAACTTTTTGAAACGAACAGAAAGGGGGAGAAACATTTGCACTGTATGGCTTTTTCATTATATGCCTCACATGATGTTGAAGATCTCCAGGCAGCACATCTTCTGATAATTACTGGACAAAAGCTTCCCCTCTTGGAAACAAGTATTACTAATCCAAAAGTAATGGAATAATTAAATACATATTAGGAAATAGGGCCACTGCCAAGATTATTTTTCCTCTGATTTTAACAAGAGTCACTAAGTCTCTTAACATTACACTATGTGATTCCCAGCCAAGGGAACATGCATTTGCTGCACACAAATGATATGGCAAATCTTCAGAAYGCTCTGGATAAAGGAAATATGAATATCAAAGGTCAACATTAGGCTGAAAATGACCATTTCAAACAAGATACATGCATCCTAGAATAAAAGAATAATTTCTATACATTTTGTTAGTAAATGGTCCCTCTGTAATAGCACATTGATTGTCCCCTCACCTCTCTCTCTCTCTCTCTCTCTCTCTCTCTCTCTGTCTCTCTCTCTCTTTCTCTCACACACACACACACACACACACTCACACATGCGAGATAGAGAAATTTTGCCTGGACTCTTGATATTGTCCAAAACTTAGAAAAGTTTTTAGGGAGGCTGGAGTAGGGCAGAAAGGTTTCCAAATATCAGAAGAGTTAAGCTTCCTATGAGATTTTGCCTTTGAGGATTAAAGTAGTACTGCAATATGCTTCAAGTTTATTAAAGAAAGCATGCATGAACCAAATTCTGAAATATATTTCAGAGGTCTCTTTTTCAATTTGAAAATCATGTTATAAAAGTATAGAAAGTGAAGGAGTACTTCACAAGGGCAATTGGAGAGAAGAAAGAGTAGAAGTTAAATTATATTCTTTCCATAGTCCATTATAGAAAAAATAATATTAGTCTATCATTTATATTTCTTTGAATGGAGTTATTCTAACTTTATCTGTAATTCTCTGGTTTGCTTCATAGAATAGTTTTCCATTATTCTTATGTTGTACAAATGATAGGTGGCCAGTAACTGATTATTGAGTAGGACAGAAGAACTGTTTTACAAAAATAATTTCTACTGACTATCAGTAAGTCAACTATTATGAAATTCTTGATAATATAGTTATGTAAAAGATTACTGTTCTTTTCTGACAGGTTTACATTTTTTTTTTGTAAAAAGAATGACATGCTCATCCAACAAAAACGCTCATCCAACAAAAAGAGGCTTTTAAATTTTTCTTTTCAGAGTTTCAAACAATAAAGATCTTCAATCTATCCATTCTGAGCATTTTGTTTGGAACTTGTAAAAGTCTCATGGAAGTCAACAAATGCCAGGACTCAAATATTTACAGTTAGGATTAGTAATGACTTCAAAGAGGTCTTGAAAATGAGAGCCAGATTGTGCACATGAACTCACAAATTTAGAGCAATTTAGAGCTGAAGAAAGATCCAAGAGAAGGAGAATTTTAAGGTAAATATGAATTTATTATAGTACTAAACTTAAAAAGCCRAGGCCAATCCAGAAGTGAGCTATTATATGCCAAATAGCAAGGAAAGTCCAAAGCTAATGATTAAACCCTAATCCACAGCTGACAGTTTGAGGAGGGTGAGGGATGGAAACAGTTTCAGGAAATGGGAAGAGAAGACAGTCCAAGTTCCAGCAAAGACATTGAAAAATCTAGGGAAGGACACAATTCTGCCCTTTCAAAGTACCCATCACAACTCAACTGTCTCTTTCTGTCTTTGTTTCTCTCTACACAGGACTCTTTCTCTTCTGCTTCATGAAAGGATCCTGACCCTGGATTGGCTACACAATWTTTCCTAGCAGTTGGGAGGAAGATTGAAATCATGACAATTAAGTCTGACTTTCCAGGGTTGCATAGTCTGACCCAGAAATATAAGTCATTAACAAAAAAGAAATGACTTATTATGTAACTGAAGAATAATGATGTGTCTGAAAGACAGAGCCATTTGTCTCTGGATACCAGGATGCTAATTTCCTGGCAATTGGCCAATTATCTACTAGAATTTTGAAACATATCTTATGGCCTCTGGAGCCTATAAAGTCATTGTAACATTGTGCTCACTGTCCCCAGCACATAACCAATCTTAAACTTGCCTGGAACTGTCTAGGATGAGATGTGAACAATGGATTCAACAAACCTGTAGACTCAAACCAAGAGCAGAATGTTTTTAAACCAGTACTTCTTTGGTCTTGAATGGTTCAGAGTAGTTATTTGCACCATATTCTTAAGAACCCCTGCTTCTTAATAAGGTCTATGGGATCTTGACAGCATTTCTTGAGTATCACTTTCATTCTAATTGCCTTATGTGTAAGTTACACATAATAGAATTTGCTTATAAAATGCAATAAAGCCTTGATGTTGTTGCTGCACCTTCTTGTGGGGAGCATTCTTATTTTCAAGCTCCTTGGACATTGAGGGTCCCAATCTTCCCCAGTACCTGGGTTAGAAGCTGTAAACTAAAATTCTGGAAAACATCCAATGATCTTTGTTCTTCTGTGAGGGAGGGAAAATAATTTCTTAAAAGTTTTAGGCTGATGTCCCTTGTGACAGTAAAATAAAGGCCATTCCAATAACAGCAACAACAAAACGTTTTAGGTTGAAGGAATTCAAAAGTTGAACAGAATTCAAATTCAGTAAATTTTATTTTATTTTTAATATGCACACAGCTAAAATAAAATTGAACATGAATGACCAAATTAAAGAGGTCAAAAGGCAATGTGTAAGTTTGGATATTTGTGCTGACGCCTTGTAAGATCAAGAAGTGAGATGTCCCAGGCCATTTTCCAGTATGATATTTGCAATGGATATCCTCTGTCTACTCTCATTAATCTTCCAAGCCTAATATATCTAAGGTAGTGAAATCATATTAATTAGAGAAAGAGATGATTAACTTTATCCCAATATAAACATAAAGTGATGTTTCTTGAACGTTAATTCATTTAGAAGCAGGAGAGCATTTTTGGGTATGCCGTCCTCTCTGTGTATCTTTAGACTCTCATTTCATTTAAAAGCCTATGAAGTGACAGACTGCCATATTAAATAATAAATTGTTAGAGCTACTTGACCCTAACTGAGCAAGGTACTTTTGCAATTCTAAAACCCCGAGCTTATTAGTATTTTCTATTAGCCGTATTTACTTGCATTTCTCTGGGGACATCTAGTGGAGAAAGCACAGTTTACAATGTTTCTTGAAGCACAGCACCTATTACATCTTGATTAAAATCATAATTAATTTGGAATTCCAAAAATTTTAAATATTTTACTAATTTGAAAATGCTGAACATCTGAAAATTAATAGCATTCTTTTTTATGAACTCTCTCTCTCTCTGTCTCTGGTCCTGAGAATTGAATCTGGGGGCAGTCTACCACTGAGCTATACCCCCAGCTCTCCCCCCCCACCACTAGCTTGCCTCCTACCCCCAGCCCCACATCTTTTTTTTTTAAGTCAAGATCCCTACTATGATGCCTAGACCAACCTTTGACCTGCAGTCCTTCCGCCTTACTCTCCTGAGTTGCTGGGATTACAGGCATGCCCCATGGACCTGGCTCTTACATGAAATCTTTTAATGCTGATGCAGATTGCCCACAGTAAGTAATGTCCAATCTGAATAACAGTTGAAAAGACAATTCCTGTTCATGCATGTATGTGGTCAAAAAATGAACTGCTTCACTTTTTAACCTGATATACATATTTTTTCTATATTGTCATGGAGTAGTGACACATGAATAAAAAAACTATAACTGATTTTTTTAAAAAAACTTCTAATTCACATTTGGACGTAATCACTTCCACAGCCTTATTTCAGGCGTTGGTTTCCTCTCACATTTATACACGCCGCTTCTCACCTCTCTCACTCTGGATACTGTTGACAGTATGCCTTTCATCTTCTCTTTTTCTTGGATCTAGATAACTTTGTTTCAGAATGATTAAGACCCTCGTCATCATCTGTCTGCCGTCCACAAATAACTTCTAATATTTCTTCAGATCAGACTGAAAGATGAAGGGATGGATAATTGCTGCAATTAAGGAAATCTGTAGTTATCCATCTCTCTCGTATAGTACTAGAATTTCAACGTCCCATCTGGCACATTTGGTCTGCTGAAAATAGAATTATTCTATAATTTGCAATCATCAATTTATCATTTTCCCCAAACTCTTTCCCTTTGAAATAGGAATACTCTCAGGCCCATGCTTAGACATCTACCTCTTTGCTGATGTTTTCTTTTAACTGATCTGTTCCTGTCCAACACTGTCCTCAGAAATCTCTCCATCCAATTTTAGAGGTGTGGTACATGGTCTATATGCTTTCTTTCTGCATTGGAGAAGTTTTTTTATGCTTCATTATAAGAAAAGAGACAGCCAATGTTGAG